CGTTTAGTTTGCATTTATTCGGACGCGGTTGCACTGCCCGGCGCGCGCTCACCGGCACCGCACGACGCAACGACGCGCACGCACAGTCCACTACCTCGTCGGCACCGCTGCTCGGCTGGTGTGGTCATCATTCCGGCACTCGCGGCCATCGCCTACGTACGCGCGACGCTCACTCGGCGGCACGTACACGCGTACGACCAACGTTTCGTACACCCGAACTATTATTTTATTCTATTTCCGTAATTCGGTTTTTCTTTTTTTTTTCCGTCAATCTCGGTTTTCGGTTTGTTTTTATTTCTGGTCCGCGATCGGACGGAATAGATTTTATTGGTTTTTATTTATTTATTTTTTTTCCTCCCGAAAAACGTAACAGTACTCATTCGCATCGCTCGCGTGTTCGTTTTTCCGTTCGTTTCATCGCTCGCTGTCATTGAGCGGCCCTAATTAATCGTTTCCACTGTACGCGGCACCGACGACAATGTGAACGAGCCCACGTGAAAATGATTGACTTTCGACTACTGATCGACTTTTTTCCGACGTGCCGGCCACCGTCGTCGGTAATCATATGAGGACAACGAATTTTTAACGCACGTGGTGGAACCGTCAATACCGCTTTCATCATGAGGATTAAAATGCCTGCAGTGCGTATCGCTCAAGGTACGTTCAAATTGATGTTTAATTATTGTTATGATTATTTTTTTTTTTTTTTTATTATTATTACTATATTTTTTCCACGTTTACTTGATCAGCTATTTTCGGTTACGGTTTCGCGTCGGTACACACCGATGTACGGGGGTGTTTTCAGAGTTACTGTTTCTTCTACCCTCGCTTCATAATATTTTCTAGGAAAAACCCGGTAAAATACTCGAGCAGTACTCCCGATTTAATCATTGAGTTATCGTTTGTTTTCGGTGCGTATAGTTACGCTTAATCTAACTTTAACGTAGTTGTACCGTACAAGTTTATCAATACCTAGAAGTAGTCGCTCGGGATGGAAATTTTAATATTTCGTAGATATTTTTGTTGCCCGGTGTCGGTGTTTAGATTGGAAAACTAGAATTTCCCGACGCCCGTCTTGAAATGATAATATCGCAGACTAGTGTTGAAAATTGTTCTAATAATGTAATGGGAATAAATTTTTTTTTTGCATTCGATTGTTTTATAATTTTACTATTTTACTATTCGGTGGGCGTTTAATGGATACTACCGTAATAATCACTGTAATAGGTTACGTTTTATATTTTTATATTTTCGACGATTTATGATATTTTTATCGTATAAAAAATATTAACAATAACCGTTCATTTAAATCGTATTAAGTAAACATAAATTCTCCTTTTTTATAGGTATTAAAACGCTATTATGCATAATATGTTGGTATCGCGTTTTATGTCGATCGCGCGTATAATCGTACAACGGAAAAAATTCTCTGCAGGCAATTGTTGTCTGGGCACGTCATAGTCGACGTCGTCAACGTCAGGCGATGCCCACTATACATATTATTATTATCGTTATAATATTTTTGCATTTCGCTATGCCGACGCGCTTCGGTAATATTTTTGCCCGTCCAGCATAAGTCGCGAAAACCATATTATTCTATGGGCCGTTGGCGTAGGTTCCTCCTCTGACGGACATCGCATTGAGTAAGAGCGTGGTGCTGACGACGATTACAAAAAAAAAAAAAAAAACTTACACTCCCCCGAATTTGTCAAGTGTTTTGAATATATATTTCGACACGGGTTCGACAGCGAGGTACCGTTAACGAAAACAATAAATTATACGCGACGCACACGTAATATTTAATAGGCCTTTTGTTTTGTTTTTTTAAAAAAAAAAAAAATACGTGGCGGTAAAACGAGCCACGCGAAGAAACGGGGTACAAAAAAGTGTACGTAATAATAAAAATAAATTAACCGAATACAGTAATGATATCGCGTCGGTAATGTAAAAATGTTGCCGTTGGTGATCCCTTGACCCGCGTTTTATTTATGATCTGAACAGCGATCGGGAGTAAAAGAGAGAACCGAGTGGTGTGGAACGACGACCCTTCCCGCAAGCGCATCAGCTGCTTACGTTCGGTACGTCCGTCATCGATTACGCATTATACGTTTATACTACACATGGAGACGAGTTTTAGGTACTCTTCGTCGTCAACAAATAATAAGTACTACCTACTACCTGTGCGGTTCTCGTCGTCGTTCCTCGGCGATGTGATTCGGATAAGGATTTCGGATAAAACGGATGATTTAAACGATGAGATTGCGACGACGACCCGTGTCTAACTTGGATATACCTCTGGCATTGCGTGTATTTATACCTGTTGTTTTTATACGCGCGTCGGGACGACACGAGAGTTATTTGTGTCCATAACCATTATCGTTTTTTCGACCGATCACGGTAACGCATATAAAATAACGTTCGTTAGTAATACGTGTTGTACGCGCGACCGGCGATAAACTGCGGACAATAGGGTCTATTCCGACTTATTGGCGCGATAACTTCTTCGTTCGTTGACGGGAAAACTTGACCGACGGCACAGTGTTGAGTTGTATGTTTAACGTGACACGAGCGCGTACAAATCAAATCGTTCGAACCGGACTGGAAATGTGATGTGGATTTGACCATAAATTTACTATTTATAATCGCGTTATCGTACGATATACCGGCGGCCAATTGTTAATATTTAATCGACACGTGAAATTAATCGCCCCCAAAATGAGCGCAGACATGTTACGGTCGTCGCCCGCCACCTACCTGCGCTTTCCGCCCCGGAGATATATAATAACCCACGTGGTGTGTTTAAAATTAAAGTTCGTCGCAATCGAAATTATTTTTCGGCGACAATCCCCCGTCCACCCTGTCCACCGTCCCCGCGGTTTGGCGTTCCCACGTTTTGTCGCCTATCGCTTTTTTTCTCTTTTCGTTCCGTCGTGACCGAGGCCGATAACATAATATCTCCGCACTCGCCGTTTTCAGTAGTATCGTTTCAGTGCGCGCGCGTGTGTTCAAACATTTTAACCGCGCACATGTGCACATCTAGATATGAAATAATAAAGCAAATGGTGGAGAGGAAAAAAATTGTACTGGCAGGCGCGCGTGCGTGATGTGCACTACGTTTACGTGCACATATATAATACGATTTAACAAGACGTATTTTTCTTTTTTTTCTTTCGTTCGTTCGTCGCACTCCGCTCGGCCGCGTTTAATGAACGCGCGGTCGGTCCGTGGGAAGCGTGCGCGCGCGCGGTTTGACCCGAGAATGTGGTCAATTACGGCGACGACGACGATGACGACGGTAGACATCGGATGCGCGGGGAGACGCGGTGGCGGCTGCGGTACCGTCTCTACGGGGTGCGGGGGTGGACCGGTGGCCCGCACAAAGGAACCCGGAAAAGCTCCGCGATATTATAGTATTATTTGGGCAAAGGTTAAAAGGTGCATTGTGTACGGTACAGAACGTTTTATATACGTGTGCGCGCCACGGACAGAATATTAGATCGGCCGCCGAAAACTTTTTATAAATCGATCGCGTCCGCCGCGACGATTGTACGTCTTATTAATGGCGATCGCAACGGTTTTGATCATTTTCCCGGTGGTGTTGCGATTATTATCACGGTATGTATTATCACTGAATGTTGTCGGACACTAATGCGGTTAACCACCGGTCGCGGTAACGCCGATTTCCGGACATCGCTTTGTGAAATATGCAAACAACGATAGCGCGTCGTGTTCCTCTCGTTCCTAACCGTGTTCATGGTTCGCTGTACAAATCCTTCGGTCTGTACGCACGTGGAAAAATGTACGACGACGCGGCGGTGTGTTTAACACCCGCGAGGTGCTAGGGGGTCACGCGACCTATATGGTCATCGCTAACGAAACTCTTAAGAGCACTGCGCCGCTGCTGCGGACGCGCGATAGGCTCTCGGACAAGTCGCCGCGCATGATTATCGGTGCCCATTACTCTTGTGTAAACGATCGGGTTACGAAACCCGCCGGTGTGACGTGCCGGCGTGCACCGTACGTAATCTATTATTGCGGCAAGAACGGTAATAAATAAGTAGTACAAGTGACGATCGACCCCGAGGGCTGTTCGCGTCGGCTTTCGAGTCTTGCTAGAGAGCTGCGGACCACGCGCCGTTGCCCCCTCGACCCTCGTGAGCGACATGAGATGCTCACAATTTAGGTGCGATTGTGTTTTTTTTTCCGGTGTCTTTCCTGCGCACGTGCAAGCCCGATCGTGACCCATAACCGCCTAAATCTATATTACTGCTCGTACATGTAGGCATGTGGGTGGTGCGTGTGTAAATACGCCACGCGGTTGATTTATGAACGCGTAAATAAAACGCGGACGCGATTTCCATTTGTCACACGCGTATACGACGTTGACATATATATATATATATATATAACGCACCACGACATGTAGCGTCGCGCACGTTTTGATAAGGTCCTGACGATTTTTCACGGCACGTTAAAAGACACCCAACCTCCTGTTCCATTTCACCGTAGCGATCATCCGACCGAAGTTTTATATTTCTACATAATATTATTGTTATTATTATGTGTCTACTCGTGTTTGTATGTATGTATGTGCGATGTATATAAGTACTCTGGAAACAAATGGCTTCCTGATTTTCGATTTTTTTTTTTTTCTGGTCTAGTAAAACACGAGTGCTGCGGTATAATGTGTACGCGTAAATAATCATAAAACGTATAATAAGTCAGACGAAAAAAAAAACAATTGATTCCGCGGTGAGTAGAAAAAGAATCGCGTGCCTAGCCCAATTCCGTCGTCGTCTTCGTCGTGGTCGGCACGCCCATCCTGCAGCAAAGAGGTGTACGGGAGGGGAACGCTGCCGTCACCGCCGCTGTATCCTTCTAAATAACGTTATTAGGCTAATTTATTTATTTTCTCTATTCGTATATAATACGTTCATATATATATGTGTGTGCACATGGGTTTGTGTATTTTTTTATTATCGTTTGTTTTCGTTCGGGGCTCGTGTCGTCGCGGCCACACCGTCGTGAGCGCATGCCATTTACATACAATGAGTGCCCGTTAAGCCACATTAAACAATTGCAATTACGCCTTCGGCTCGCGCGACCATTGTCGAAAAGAGCGAAAAAAAAAAACCATAACGATTTCGTCGTCATCGCGGTCGCGTGGGAAATGTCGATCGTCGAGAGGCAATGATCGGAAATGCGTGTGACAATCGCGGGAGGAATAAAATAAAACACGATAGCACATCATAGTGTCGGCTAATGAAGGAGAAAACCATGCGTACCATTCTATATAGGTGACGCGTTTCGTGAAGTGTTAACCGTTGGTCGTCGGAGCGAGGTTTTTCGTAACGAAGGAGGAGGAGGAGGTGGCGAGAAATAAGGAGGCGGTGTTTACCGACCGTCGAAAAGAGAGAAAAAAAAAATTCGAAAAAAAAACCTCCACGGACACACACCACCACCGCTGCGAGGTCCTTTTGTTGCGGCGTCGGTTCCACGTCGGGACTCGCCTCATTGGGTTTCCGTACCGGAATTCGTTTCGCAACTGTTTCGCGTCTCTGCCCAATCCCCAAAGACTGTTGGCGGTGTCGGCGGCCATTGCTCTAATTAGTCACACGTTATTTTCACATGCCGCGGCGGCAGCAGAGAAAATGTGT